ACTTGCCTGAAGCCCTACAATACCCTAGCACTTCTTGGCAAGTTCATGGGAGAAGCAGTCTTAACCAATTTTTGAAAAAGTGAGTCTGAATTATTTTTTTTATTATTAATTTGCAATTCATCTAATTCGCTTTTTCCAAAAGTGCCTTCTTGGGTTAGTGAGTATGCAGTAGAAATACAATTTAATATATATATCTATATATAGATATATTATATAATAGTTTCTAAGCCTTATGGGATAGCAAAGTGATCACTTGTTCCACACTTCGAACCAGAGAATGCTTCCAAAATCGCAAACTCTTTGAGAAGAGTACATGCTTGTCATGTTGTTATTGTCATGTGACGCAGTTGACGCTGCTAATTCAAGGGTATGTGGTAACTTAGGTCATTCAGCTATTGTTCACTTAGTATTTCATGAAACTGCGCATTCTGTCATGCTACTGATTTCTGCTTACTTTACAGTAGGGAAGTACGCAAATGCGGACACGGTGGAAGATTAGTTCATGAATCAGACTGATCCGAATCGGGAGTTCAATCCCCTGACTGAACAATTGGGTAACTTAACGTTAGCAGCGTTTTTAATGAAGCGGATGACGGGTAGATAGCAACTTACATTTCGGCCTGTTCCTCACAAAAAGCTATATAGCATGGCATCAGAAGCCTTTGAACATAAATAACGACTCGTGTCGATTACTTTAGTTTTTTACGGAAGAAAGGATGCCAAGTCGTGAGGGTGAGTAAATGAAGACCATTTTCATTTTGGGTGAACTATCGATCTATCAAGTTTTAAAGTGAAAAGAAAACGACAAAGCGAATAAATATTCAACATGTTCAAACAAATCACAAATTGTACAGCGACTAGAGTGCAAACAAATGTATTGTAGATGTTTTTATTAACTCCCCCATTCCCAAACAATGAATAACACACAACTAAACTGGCCACGGTTAGGCTATGTGCATCAGCAACGGCATATATTTTAATAAACTTTACCTAAAACAAAGCAATTTTATATTTCCCCTGCTTTCCCAAAAGCATTGTTAAAACCAAAAACACACGCGCTGTGGAGCAGGATGGATCTGTATGGACAAAACCCACGAAGCTCCGCGGAGTTCACCTTTAAGAAAAAGTTTCTTTCGGAACAAGTTCATTGACAAGAGACAGATTCAGTTGTTTGTCGTCTTACCTCGCCAAGTACGAGACGACAATCCCATTAAATGTGAAAATGAGACAACGCAACGATTCCTTGTGCCAATACACGCGTTATTTCCCAAAGAGACTCGCCTTCCACAATAGAAGCGCAACAACTCCACAGATCTCAGGACGCAGCGAGCGGCTGACTGACAGCCCCACTGGCACAAACCCCGCCTTTGCTGCGCGCTGATTCGCCGTGGCGTAGACAGAGCCCCGCCTCCTGTGATAGCGGCGTATCATTTGCTGTCTGTCCTGTCAATCTCGTCCTGTGTGGGGCTGTTTGGGACAATGTTGTGAGACTCATTTATGTCTGACGCGAGAAAATTGCATTTACCGTGCAAAAGAGGCAGTTAAATAATACCGTTTTTATGGATGAATACATTCTAAAAATGTCCACTTTTTAAATTACATTAACACTCATTTAATCCACGAAATTGCCTCAGGGTAACAAACCCGTTTTATTAATAAGCACATTATGCATATTACATAGCAATTAATAATGAAGAGATGACGTTGAATAAACAAGTAAAATGCTTTGACTTGGTCAACTACATCCTCATGGTCATTTGAACTTTTTCGTTAGCCTATGTGGAGGAGACATTTTTGCTCGAAGGGCTATTTTTGGTGATTTGCACACATCAAAAAATATAATTCACATTTTTAGTGACGTTTGAAGGTATAAACAATTTTAATAAGGATTTGCTTAATGTGTTTGTTGCCTAGAGGCAAAATTATGCAATGGTGGAATGGATGTGAATACAGTGCGTAATGGATGGAATGAATTTTTGTGTTATTCATTATTGAGTATTTATTAAATACTGCATTTGAGTATTTTCTTAACATTTAAGTTAAAGTAAAAAGTCAAATAAATAAAAGTCATATACTGTCATGTAAAGTAATTTTACTATTATGCCATCAACAGATTGTATAATCACTCAATTTCACAACATATATTTATTTACACAAAATATTTGCTGTCTTTGATGAATTTCTTTCCATTTTCACATAGTGTAAATTGCATGAAATATCCACTCCCAAATATATATTTTTTACTATGTATTTGTGATTTTAGCATTTGTGATTGTTATAAAACCTTTTCAATAGCATAATGCATGCAAGAGAGGGCTAATTTGTCATAAGTTGACTTATGATCATATTTAAGCCTCATATTATTGGCATGAACAATCTTACACGCTCTAGTAAAATGTCAGGTTATTTTTAGGTCTGATGGGAGCTACCCTGTGACATGTGTCATCTTATAGCCTTTCAAGAGTTGTGTTTCCAACACTGTAAAGTGCTTTTACAGTGACCTAAATTTATTACAATCTATGTTTTCTTTACCTTAAAACAATCAGCATATATCACACTGACATTTATGTGGTTTCAGTTTTATTTTGTGCAAAATAGTGAAGGACATAAGTGTGAGAATAACAAAACAGCATGACCACACAAACACAGTAATAATCCCTTCAATTGCATATATGCGCCACAATAGTGATTTACAAATTGTTTTCTCAGATGTACAGTTTATTGCACTGGAATCTGGTTATAAAGGAGAGTGTAATTCATATGCAAGGCTTTTCCCATGGCAGTCTTGTTATTATTTCTACAGTGAATCAGCAGGATGAGGTCTCTGGGCCTGCTAAACCTGTTGTTAGCTCTAAATGGGTGTGCACAGAGGTGCATTTTTTTGTACATGGGTTGACCATTCCTCTGTGCTTACCTAATGCAGCACAGTACGCATAAGCGTGACAAGGGCGCCATCTGGAGTTTGGCAATTAAATTTCAAACCTCTATTGTGAATCTGCAATGCATTGTCTATTACGTGATCTTAGATCAACCTTTAGAGATAAATTTACCACGTTGGTATAGAGAAGAATACAACCAAAATACAATAATGCACATACAGCATAAATGTACAGCAGATAAATGGCAAGGTGTCCAAAACGAGCCCATCCATGAAATAATCCATATTGCCAATGATGTGATGTGCAGGGTCGGTTCTAGGATTTTCATTTTAGGGGGGCTCAGCCCCCAATGAGG